ATTTAATTTTCATGTGGAGAAGAAGTAGAGTGAATGACTCTGTATAATTTTATTAATGATTAATGTATTAATTTCGATATTTTCTATATACGAATGAATTTTTGAGTAAATAAATAGTGTTTAGTAACATTGATTGTTAAGGTATAGTCTTGTCTGTTAACTAAATTTCAACAGAGTAGAAATCCAACAAGAAATATTCTACAATCATAAATCTGTCCAATAAACTGATTAATTTAGTCATGAGAGACAATCGTTTAAAATGAATCATAAAGAAAGAGCAAATGTTTTGTGAATTTTAAAAGTTGATAATAATTCATTTGATTGAAAAATCATATATGGAAGAATAATATAGCTAATCAAATGGCATCCATATTATGGGCATCTAATAGAATAAAATATATTACAAACATCATTAATTTAATATTCCATTAATATGAAATTTCCTTTTCAAAACCACAATTATTAGAACTTCATCAATCGTATAATGTATTTCTTCAAAATGCGACTTATTATTTATTTTAAAATTAATCCCCATTTAATTTGTCGATTTTTATAAAAATCGTTGATCTGAAAAAGACGATCTTGTTCTGATTAATGTCGTCAAAAGCGAAGAAATGAATGTTTGTCTTAATGTATTTGAATATAATAATATTGAAAGTTCAATTTATCACCTTTTTTGTGTTATTGTTTTCTTAAAATGTTTTTTCTATTTTAATTAGGTAGGATCTTATTAAAAGACTTATCTCATCATCATATTCGTTTAATGAATTTTATTCGAGTCGGTCGTGATAAAGTTTTATTTAAATGAAATGGAGAGCTAAATTTTCAACTATAATTTTTCATCTTTCTTAACTCATTTTGATTTCTCAAAACATCGAGTAGCACCAAAAGATATTAATAAACATGAAGAAGACCTGTGTGGAGAAAAGTAGGATTGCTTTTTTTCCAGTTAAGTTTATCAAAAAATTTGATATTTGCAGATAAGCATTATTATTCATCGTACAAATGAAGTATTACGATTAAAAAGCAGTCGAAGGCGTTGAACGCTTGTATAATAAAACTGTTTGATATTGTGATGAACAATATAAACGAGTTAGTATAGTTTATAATATATTTATATAAGCTATCAAAAAGAGATTGAATTTTTAGAACAAGAATTCCTTTTCGTTTGTTGATTTTTTTATTACTGACAAACATGAGCTTGATGCTTGTCAAGTTGATAGAATAATAAGAAAAATTTTATTTACTGCTATTCATCATCGTTTAACTCCTGAGTGGTTAAATGTCGATCAAGTAGATAAAAAAAACTTTTATTCTGATATATGTATGCATGTATACTATTCATGTTTTGAAATTGAAGTAACATGTTATGATTATAAAGTTGTAATTGTAGTTAAAACTACATTAAGAGAAAGTTTCAATGCATCAGCAGAAGAAATGTATGTTGTAATAAATCTATTGTTACTTTCAATTTTAATTTAAAAAAAAAACGTTAGTCGGTTGCATTGTAATAGATGAATTTAATAGCTTCTCCTCCTTATGTAGTTACAGCTACATGTCTTGATCAAAATAAAGGGCTTGATGCACTTAAAAATGTTATTGAAAAAAATAAAACAAAGTATTGAACATTATCATATGATATTTAAAATTAAAAGAATACCTAAGATAGTTATCAATGTTCATGATGTAACACGTAAAGTAAAATAAAATAACTTTATAAACATGTTGTTTTATACAAGGTGTTTCAAAAGTTCGAACGAACAAAGCAAAAAAACATAAATAGCTTCTCAGTAATTCAAGGAATTTAAATATTTTGTTTTTATAGTTTGATCAGATATTTATTATATTATGCAGATAAAATGTCTGTGTCTACAGAAGTTAGAATTAAAGTAGTTTCACTGATGGTCAAATTGGAGTCAGCTGCCATTGTAAAATGAAAGCTGCAAATCAAATTCAATCAAAACACGCAAACTGAGCCATATTTCAGAGATTTTGTGAAATTGATACGATGATGTTCTGGAAGACCTACAGCAATTATCGAAGAAAAAGTCAATGAAGTTAAGGATGCTTGTGAAAATGAGCCAGGATCAAGTATTTTTATCTATTGTACGAGTTTCCTCATTACAACAGACAATATACCGAGTTATAACGGAATATCTCTTCTTCAAGTACAATTTGTTCAACAGTTCTACAAAGAAGAATTGCATAGACCGGATACTTGATCGTGACTCATCGTTACAAGCATCATTATTTCTTCAGTAATTACTCTTCGGTATTTCTGAATGTTATCGTACCAATTTCACAAAATTGTTGGAATGTATTGCTAACGCAATGATTTATTGGCATGTTTTGTCGAATTCAACTTACGGCTTTCATTTTACAATAGTAGCTGACTCAGATTTGACCATCAGTAAAACTATTTTAATTCTGACTTCTGTAGACACAGACGTTTTATCTAAAAACTTTAATGAATATGTGATTAAACTGTAAAATAAATATTCAAATCTTTTTGAATTGCTGAGGAGTCATTCATGGTTTTTTGTTCGCTCGGACTTTTCGAACACCATGTATATTAAAATCTATTTGTAAGAAGTTTATGTAACAAATTGAAGATGAAAATTATGAAAGATTTAATGATAACAATGAAAGTAAAATATGGAAAAAATAAATTATCTATTATGATCTATTTAGATAGTGGAACCAAAGGTTATTTATCAGATGAAACTTCAGGAACTGTTGAAATATTCATAGAATCGAAAAAATTACTACAAAATAATATAAAAGCTGATGAAGATGATAACGTTGATGAAAATGAAGATTGAATTTCAAGACAAACAAAAATATATCAACTATGTATTTTTTTAATGTTATTCTTTTCTTTTGTACTATTTCAATAAAAATTTGATGATACAATTGAAGGCTTACAAACAAGAGATAATGCTTTAATATACGATAGTTTTTCTTCATCATCAATAATCGATCGATGTAGATAAGATTCAAGACGAAAAAAAAATTGCTTTAGTATTGGATTTGTTAATTGATTAGTTTCATTATCATTTAATTGTATCCATGCGAATTTTTCTTTATCTGATGAGACAAGTATTAAAAGACTAACTTCAATAAGACGAGCAAGACTTTGAACAGATTCATTAAGTGTTGATAAACGTTCTTCTGTAAGACAAGCTCGTTGTTCGATAAGATCACATTGTGCTGTACCACGACGAAGACGTTCCGTAAGACGATCGATTTTAACTCCAAATTCGGTCATTGAATGATGATTGGTGGGTTTGTATCAATGAATGATGAATTGTTGTCTTTAGCAGTATAGTAGATTCTATACGCTCTAACTGATTATAGAAGAACAAAGTCAATAGTAAGATCATGCGATGTGCAACGATAGTCGTAGTCGTTGTGCGATGAGAAAGAGAAATAGAAGGAAAAAAAAGATGGACAACTTGCTGTCAATCTCTATTCCGGTTTTTTTTCTCTATAGGAAACATCACCATCAACCAAAATGACATGCAGATTGTATTAGTAGTAGTGCGTAGGCGAGAAAATATGATTAGATCAATCAATAGATGCAGCGCATAGACAAATTAGTTGAACCAAGCCAATTCTCAGAATGATGAACACAAAAAAGAAAAAGAAGAATTTCTTTAAATATTTATATAGTTGATCTATATATGTATGAATATATATGACTCTTTCCTTTTTTTTCTTTTCATATTATTCATACAGAGAAGTAATGTAAAAATCTCTCATTTCATCTTATTCTCTTGTTCTACAAACGATATGAATTCATCTTACATAATCATGCAATTGGTGTCCTTCATATTTTAAGAGATGTAAAATATGCAATCAGATGATTAGAAGAAATATTCTTCTTTAGATTTAGCTAAAAGATTGAACAAAATTATGTATATGTTTTGTTTCGGTTTTTTTTTTCTTATAGTATTCTTATGATTATACAAATTAGTATAGAACTTATTTAAATGATTAAATTGCATGATCTCACATGTATTATTACAAATTTTATTCGCTTCATTGAAACATTGTTTTCTTTTTTTTTCAAAAGATTAATGATGTAGGTACGCTAACTGCATGTGTATATGTTATGCAATTTTACATGCCATATTTTTGTTGATTCGTATCATTGGCTTTATAAATTTTGCATTGTGATAGCTTGTGATGATAGAGAATAATAAATAACTTATTTTGCATATTAACAAATTCATCTTGTATTCATTCAACGACTGATCTATAGAATATAGTAACGTAATATGAGAAACTAACTAGTCTGCATGAAATATTTATTTATGATAAAGATTTGATGCAACATTTGATCGAGAAAAATGTTACATATAAGACAAAGATAAATGTACCTCAGTGGTCAATCATAAATCACCATGTAATACGGAGATTATAAGGGATTTTGTATTTTTATCCGCAATATACTGTTTTAATTAGAAGCCTAACAATAATTCTTTTTTTTTTTTTGTTTTTTAAACAATCTTTTAGTCATTCTTTCATATATTGATGAAATAATATATTTACTTAGATTGTCAATTTATATACAAGATGATTATATATAATTTGTATAAATTCTCTCAAAAGAAATGTTTTATTCTTCTAACAATTTCAGTTTTATTTCCATCCTTATTTTGACTATTGAGCTTGTTTTTATGGTTAATTTCTCAACAAGATTGTATTAAAATGATATTTTTTCTCTTGAAAAAAAAAATTTGTTCATTATCCGTAATATATAATATTTTTCTTTTAAATTTCAAAAGCATATCTTATAAACTTAACAATGATCTAATTCATTTAACACATCATTATGTCGTCATAAAATGATTGGCACTTAGAAAAATCTTTTATGAATTTTAGTTTTAAAAATACACATATCTTTTATTAAACACTCGGAAATGAACAATTAAAATTTACAAAAAACATTTATTGCATTTGATTATCTTTTCTTTCTTGTCTTCTTTGAATAGCGTATATTACTATCGGATATGCCTTTGACATTAATAAGCGGTTTAAGACGATGAACAATTTTCACCAATGTTTCTTGATTAGTCATTACTATTGTCAAATCCTAAAATTAAACAATAACATCAACTAGTCATTTTTTCATTTTGATATACTTTATATGCTTGTGGTGCTTCATCTCTTAATGCTGTGTTGGTATCACTAACAATACCTTTCATAGCTTGTTCAAATGATTGTTGAGAAATGTTTTTCATTGCCTGTAACGAAGAAAAAATATTTATCAGAAAAGATAATCTCGATGGTAAAAAATAAAACTAACCATTGTTCTTGACATTATTCTTCCAGCACCATGAGAACATGAATAAAATGATAAGGGATTTCCTAAACCTTCAACAATAAATGAACCAGTACCCATTGAACCAGGAATAATGCCTAATTGACCTTTTCGTGCACTTGTAGCACCTTTTCTTGTTATCCAAACTAATTCTTCTTGAGAATTATCAAAAGAAACATTTTCTTGTTGACAATAATTATGATGAATATTAACCATGCGTTTAAGATCTGTTTCATATCCCGTAACTGATTTAACTATTGAACAAAGTTCATCTAACATAATTCGACGATTTTGTTCAGCATAATTTAAACACCATCGCATATCTATTAAATAATCTCGACCTTCGCTTGAATCAATGTCTAAATATTTTAATTCATTAATGACAGGTAAACGACGTTTTGACATTTGACGACCGGCTACACTATGATAATAATCACAGGTTTCTTTACCAATTCGACGTGAACCACTAAAAGTAATCTTTTTATTTTTTATTTTTTTGTAGATCTCAGATATATTTTTGAAGAAAATAATAAGTTTAAGTTTCAATTGAGATTTTTGCGACTTCATCGTAAGCTCTAGCAACTAAAATGGGGGACGTCAACGATCATTGGATATGTTTTTGAAGAAATGAGAAAAGGTGCGTCAATAATAACAGTGCTTGGATCAATCTGGAACTTTTTAGAATTTTCCAAAGCATTCTATAAATCTAAGATTCTAACTAGTCTAAATATTGCGAGTTTTAGTATTTAATGCAGCGAAAGGATCTTATTGTACATATCAATCATTAGGGCGGCGGTGACATCATTGATCTAGCAGAGTTAGAATAGAATGGATATAGGAAAGTATGAACTAATTGAATTCTAATTTTAGGCAAAAGTCAATAGTATATGTTAAAGTTCATCGAGAGAAAAGATCATGTGCTCGGAAGCTTACTGAATGATTAAATCAATGCGTATAGCAGACTAATATGGTTTTGATCCAACTAAATAAAGAATAAAAGGTTATTTGCCACTTCCTGCGGTATGTATTTTATATATTATCATTAGGAAAAAAGAAGTTATGTATTAAAGATGTATCTGACAATACAAAGAATTTTATTGAGTATAACGATGTTTAATGAATCTAATAAATTGATAGGATGGTAATTCTAAATGCAAATATTTTCGAAATAATAAAATTTCAGAGCGCAATCTATTCATTTATTTGAAATTTTTGTTTAAAGTAAATAATTTTAACCTCTTTAACAATAGATCATAAATTTATAACAGTCGAAGTTTATGAGTTTCACATTTTGTCCCCTTATGGAGTCGCATTGATGAATTTTTATCTTATAAACAATGTCTTTACCTATGTAACATAATCCAAACTTGTTCATTTTCATCGTAAAGTATTTCAAGAAAATGATTTCCTGAACCAAGTGTACCTAACTAAAAGAAAAAACAAAACAAATCAAATCAATCATATCATTGATTTTAATTTTTTAATATTTTTACTTGTTTTTTTGTTATATCACATATTTTATTTTTTAAATAATTTGTACATTTACCTAAATCATGAATAATTCGATCAGCTTTTTTATGTGCTTTCACTCTTGCATCAAATCCTGTTGGTATTGATGTTTTAATTTCTTGTTGAATTTCTCTTTTCCATTTTTCATTTAAATTATTCAATGTTAAGCCATCAATTGGTGCAGCAATCATTCCACAACCAATATCAGCACCAACAGCATATGGACATACATGAGTCATAGAAGCAAAGACAGTTCCAATAGTAGCACCAACACCTA